CCTGGGATTGAGCCCCCATTGGCATCGGGCTCTCGGCTCAGCGGAGAGCCTGCTTCCCTCTCTTTCTCTCTGTCTGCCTCTCTGCCCACTTGTGATCTCTGTCAAATAAATTTTAAAAATCTTTAAAAAAGTAAAATAATAATAATAATAAAGGAAAAGAAAAGGAAGGAAAGTAAGAAAGGAGAGAAAAGAAAAAAAAAAACCACCTTGGAGCTCACAGGAAAAGAGGAAGATTTTGAGTCTCTATGATGTGACCATTTATCACTGAATCCCCACCCATAACTGTGGCAATCCACTTTTTACCAAGAAGAGAGCTCTGAGAGGTTTAGTGAGGTGGAGTAGCGTGCCCAAGACCAAACACCTGGAAATCAAAGCTGAAGTCAACCCCAGGTCTATCTAGTTCCTGAGTCTGGCCTTTCCTTTCAGTTAATCTGCTGCCTCTGCCCCACTGAATAGCACCTTGTAACTCAGGGAAGAGGACCTTATAATTCAGAGAAAGAGGCTTTTTCCCCTAGGAAAGAAAACTGAAAATCCTTGAAGGATGGATGAAAAGTATGCCAGTGATTGGAACTAGGGGCTGGGGGCCCTCCCCTCCCTGACTACTGGTGCCTGTTATGGGGTGGAGGAGGGAATGCATCCAAGACATCCCAAGTTCAAGATGTGTCTGCCCCACAGTACTTCCCACAGGTCATTTGTTTCCAGAAACATCCTGGGAAGATGACAGATGTTGAGAACCTGGCACTTCTCACTCATCATGGGAGTTGAAAAGAGGCACTGTTCCTCAGCAAGGTACCGCACCCAGAGGGTCAGACACACGGTCTCCAGGTAATCATAGTCCTCAGAGAGAGTAAGAAGGGCCTCTTCTCTATTTTGTCTCCCAAAGCACTCAAAGGGCCACCCCCACATCTTCCTGTATTTTAGGCGAATGTGAGAGTTTCTCCCACTCCAGACAAAGCCTGCTCAGGGGCCCCTGGCAACTCAGGGACAAATTCCTCAGGCTGGCACTCAAGGCCATTTCCAACCTGGCCTTCAACTGTATTTCTAGCCTCATCTCCTTCTTACACACTGGCCAGGTGCTCTCCAGCTTCTTGGTCTTTGCTCATGCTTTTCCTGTCTCCATCTGGGTCTCTGTTGAAATCCCGTTATGTCTTTAGTTCCTATCCAAAATTTCGTTCCTTCTCTGACAGAAGGTTTTCAACCTTGCCCTAAACACTCAATGCAGAACGTATTATCCCCTCTAAAATTCCTGAGTAGTTAAACTGGTCTTAGTTATCCCCCTTTTCAGCCCATTGTCACTGGCTTGTATTTTGTGGGTCACCATTACAGTCAATAAAATCTCTCTTGGATAGCGTTTGGGTTAGTGGCTTGGATTTCAGGCCTATTTGTCTAGGAAGTGAGGGGCCTGGAGACGGGACTGAGGCTCAGCTTCTTCCATCCGACGACAGCCTGCACCATCCCTGCTCAACTTCAGGTTGAGTCCCGCGGGCAGTAGCCGAAGCTTTGCTATCACCATAGCGACGGGTGGGGCGAGGAAGCAAAATCTTCCTTTGGAACTACAACTCCCATCATGCACCCGGATCCCGGGGTGTAGGGCTCAGCCTGCGGCCTGAGACCGGGAGACCCCCGGGAGCCGGGAGGGGTCGGGCAGGAGGAGCAGAGCGCGGGGGTACTTCTGCGTTCCCGGTCCTGCGCGGAGGTCGTGGACCCCCTATTACGTAGTAGGTCTCTCGCCCGGCCTGTCCTCGGCATCGCCACATCGGGCCTAATATGGCCGCTCGTGCTGGGACCGGCTAGGTGCACCGAAATCCGGCCCCAGGTCCGAGACCAGGGACTGCTCCCGGCATTCCTCGCGGGCTTGGCGTGGGCTCCCCTCGCCCATCTCCAGGTCCAGCGAGTGGGAGCTCCTCGGGCTTTGAGGTGAGACCCGAGGCTCCGCTGGCCTGGCGGGTGCTGTGGCGAAGGGCGGGGTCGTTGCGGGAAGTGAGCCACTGACCACCCGGGGTAGGGGTAGCAAGGTATAGAGGGCGAGTATTGAAAGGAGGACACCCACTACAGTTTTCTAGGGAGCCCTTTGGATTGAGGACATCACCGAAGGTGTAAGGGATTACCTGGAGATCTGCCACTGTTGCAGAACCTTAAGACATCAGAGATAGACCAGGGCCATCCATCTCTGAGGCAGAGAGAGCTGTGGCCCCAACACAGAACTCCGTGACAGCGTGTGCCTCATAAATTCTTCCCAGGTAGAGGGTGGTTTGCTGAATTGTCACCCTGCAAGGTTGAGCACCCTTGGGAGCTCAGCAAATGTTTATTGATTTACTGATTGCAGGTGGCATGGCCCAGCCATTGATTGAGGTGGAGCGAAAGTTTGTTCCTGGCCCTGACACAGAGGAGCGGCTGCAGGAGTTGGGGGGCACCCTGGAGCACCAGGTCACCTTCCGGGACAGCTACTATGACACCCCTGAGCTGAACCTCATGCGGGCTGACTACTGGCTGCGACAGAGAGAGGGTAGTGGGTGGGAGCTCAAATATCCTGGAGCAGCTGTTGTCTCAGGACCTCACACTGAGTTTATGGAACTCACAGTTGAGCCCGCAATTGTGGCTCAGCTCTGTGAGGTGCTGGGAGCTGACGTCCTGGAGTCTGGAAGTGTGGCTGCTGTGCTGGGCCCACTGGGACTGCAGGAAGTAGCTAGTTTTGTGACCAACCGTAGTGTCTGGAAGCTGGTGCTATCCCGAGCTGAAGAGGAGCCTTCGCTCACGGTGGATCTGGATACAGCCGACTTTGGCTATGCTGTGGGTGAGGTAGAGGCCCTGGTGCACAAGAAGGCTGAGGTCCCAGCTGCCCTAGAGAAGATCCACAGCCTCAGCAGCATGCTTGGTGAGGGAGATGTGCCCTTCTGTCATTTCCTTGCCTTCTCTACCACTCTTTTGGATGTATCCACTGAAATCAGCCAGAGGAGAGGGTCTTGGGGTTATTTCTGTAACAGGGATCGTCTTGGCCATTTTTTGGAGGACAGTTTGCTTTTACAGAAGCTGTCTAACCTGGATTGGATCCTTCCTTGTCTCTAATCTCCCCCAATCCTTGCCTCATTTAGTTCTCATACCACCGGCTGCTCCAAGTTTGCATTCGTCCTCTGCTTGAATCCTTCCATCCATCCTTTCTTCCCCCAAATCCTGTTTTTTTCTTTTTTATAGCTACCTAGATCCTCATTTAATTTGTCCCATTGGCTTTGGGTAAAAAGGCAAGAACGCTGTACTTATGTGACAGACAACAGGAGAAGCCGTGGCAGATTTCTTTTTCTGTAGACAGTTCATCCACAGAAGTATGGGATTGTGCATTCCATGAGGCCTGCAAGTGGTGGAATGCTGCTCTCGCTTTCTCAGCAAACATACACTGAGTTGAGTTTCCTGCTATAAGCCCAGCATGCTGCCAGGCTCTAACAATAAGACACTGACTTACGGCGGCTCCATACCACAGAGGCTAGAATACTATGCGAATCTCACCCCATGGTTGTTGCTGCTTCTCTTTCTACATCCCTGTTTCTCTGTGTGCATCTCTGCTTGTGCTTCATTATCAACCTAACGAGCTTCGGCCTGCCTGCATGAGCGTTCACCTTGACTGGGGGCCAGGAGCAGTAACTGAAAAGAGCAGATACAGAGGCACCCTCTGTCTTCATGGCATCTGAGCACCTCTTCATTTCTCCTTGCGGGGGGAGAGGCTCACGCTTGGCTTCCCAGCTTCACTCTGACCCGAAGTGGCCCCTGTAGGCCCCACGGGCACAGGCCAGTCAGGGTGTGCGCTGGTGGGTTACGGAAACTGCTTGGATGGCCTTCAGAATCCCACTGCTGCCTTGGAAACAACTTTGAGGTCTGGCTAGGAGGGCAGGGAGTGGAATCAAAGCATTTATAGCTCTGTCTGGTTCTCTCCTCTCATTTCTCCTTTTGCCTGCAGGTGTGCCTGCACAGGAGACAGCACCTCCTAAGGTGATGGTGTACCTCCAGCGCTTCCGGCCTCAGGAATATCAGCACCTGCTGGAAGTATACAGCCCCAGAGAGAAGCCACAGGGGACTAAATCTCCTGACAGCAGCTTGGACTAGGCTGTCACTTCTTCAACAAGGAAGAGAACTCTGGGTCTAACAGGGTTCTTTCCTGGGCAGCCTGTGCCTCTTCCCCAGGCCTCCTTCCCACAGTGACTCCTCTCTCTCTAGCTCAGCCTGTTCTTTACCTTACCCTCAGCTAGCCTTCCATGAGCCCTCCCTGGCTGACTCTTCTCCCTCATCCGTCAGATGCAATCTGTGGGCCGCCCCTCTCCCCTGGCCGCTAAGCAGCCTCCATTGATTTCCGCTCGTGTTTATAGGATTTCCACTTAGCCGTGATCAGTAGTTAAGCACAGGAAAATCCCTTGCCACCCCCCCCTCCCTTGGTCGATGCCATTGATTCTGCCAGCGGCTCCTAAACTGCCTTACAGCTGAGTTAGAGATGAGGGGAGGCAGCAGGGATTTCCCTGCCTTGGGGTGTGGCAAAGAGCAGCAGGTTGGGGAAGTAGGTGGGAATCCCTGTTAGAAATCTGGAAGTTCTGGGGCACCTGGGTGGCTCAGTCGTTAAGTGTCTGCCTTCAGCTCAGGTCATGATCCTGGGGTTCTGGAATCGAGTCCTGCATCGGGCTCCCTACTCATTGGGAAGCCTGCTTCTCCCTCTCCCACTCTCCCTACTTGTGTTCCCTCTCTCACTGTGTCTCTGTCAAATAAAAATAAAATCTTAAAAAAAAAATCTGGAAGTTCTGTTTCATTTTGCTGCTGTGCCCTACTCTGGACCAGATTGTAGAGTGCCTCCTGTGGAAGTTTAGGGGCAAATTTGCTCCCCGACCTGGAGAGGGTAGAAAGAGCCCTTCTTTGTTGAAACAGGTTCCTAAGGCTCAAGGAAAGATACAAACTTCCTGGATAAGAAGACTCTTCCCTTGCTATGATTTGTAAATGTGTTCTATCTCAACTGTACCCAAATATGGCTTTTCCCCTCAGGATTTATTGGACTTTCATTATTTGTGGGAAGTAAGGGGACAGCACCCCCCACCCCCCCCCCTTTTTTGCAGAGGCAAATGCAGGACCAGAGCACCACCTGCTGGTCGCTGTCAGGTAGAGGCGCCAAGTGGCTGAGACCCTGGGGTGTTGGGACACAGGAGGATTTCAGACTGCATGGAGGGTGTTACTGCCACGTGTCCACGGGCAAGTTGTTCACCTCAAAGATCTCCTGCACGGACTGGCCAAAGTGGTTGTAGGTGAGGCGCAGCTTCAGCCTCAAGGGGGCCTAGGAATATGAGAGTGGAGACCAGGGTTAGCATCTGTGATTTCAGTCCCAGGGTCTTATCAACAGGGGGTGGGGTGGGTGCTCCTGAGCTCACCTTGTTAGGATTGAGGATTCTGAGAAGCTGGGTCACGGGAAGGCCACCCTGAGCTGGAACTGTGTCCCCACTGGGGGCCTGGAGCTGCAGCTGGAAACTCTGAACACAGGAGGTTGGGAAGAGCACAGTAAGGCAGATAGCTGGGCTCAGGCAACCCCTCTGCACCCAACAGTTTCAAACCCTCTTCCCATAACTCCCCAAGTGCTTGTCTCTGCATTCCCTTCCTGTCTCATTCTTCCTCCCACCCACCTCCCCTACTTAGCCTTTTTTCCTGGGGTGCCCAGGCCACCTCAAATCCTGGTCTTCTACAAACCTTGGGCACAGCAGCCTGGCAGACGAAGTGGGTGACATCAGCCCCTGAGGTGTTGATGGCAGTGACTGTGATTAAGAGCAAAGCAGGGGTTCCAGGGGGTCGAACAAAAGACAGATTCAGCTGCAGTCCTTCACGCTCAAACACTTTGAGATTTGGGATGGAAGCTGGAGTGTGGAAAAAGCAGCAGCTCAGTGTATGGGGAAGATAACAAGCTCATTCATTCATTCAACAGAAATTAAGTGAGTGCCCACTGGGTTCAAGGCAGTGCTGGAGAAGCCAGGTACAAAGTGGACAAGAAGATGAAGTCCCTATTCTGAGCTTATAGTCTAGTGGGCAAGGAAAAACAATAAACAAGAAAACAACCAAGATAATCACAGACTATTTGGTGCTATGAAGAAAATAAACGACGTCAGAGTAACTGGGAGGAATAACTTAAATAAGGGTACCTGGGTGGCTCAGTCAGTTAAGCAAATTGCCTACAGCTCGGGTTGTGATCTCAGGGTCCTGGGATCAAACCCCATATCGGGTTCCCTGCTCAGCAGGGAGTCTGCTTCTCCCTCTCCCTCTGCCCCTTCTCCTGTTCATGCTCTCCATCTCAAATAAATAAATAAATAAATAAATAAATAAATAAACAGGGGAAGGCATCTGACATTTTAGCTGAGGCCTGAAGAATGAGAATGAGCCAGTCATCTGACGTGCTGGGCAAGAACATTCCATGGAGGGACGCCTGGGTGGCTCAGTTGGTTAAGCATCTGCCTTTGGCTCAGGTCATGATCCCAGGGTCCTGGGACCGAGCCCTGCATTAAGCTCTCAGCAGGGAGTCTGCTTCTCCCTCTGCCCCTCAGCCCACTAGTGCTCTCTAGGTCTCTCTCTCAAATAAAGTAAAAAAAAAAAAAAAAAAAAAAAAAAAAGATCATTCCATGTGAAAGGAGCACAAGTTTACCAAGGGCTTCAGGTAAGAGGGTCTGAGGAGCTGAGAGGGCCATGGAGCCGGGAGTGGGAAGTATAGGAGACGGACTGGGAGGCAGCTGGGCCTCACGGGCTAGGGTATGAAGTATCGAACAAAGAGAAGGCATTGAGGGGTATCCAGGAGGGAACTGGCATGAGCTAATGAAGCCTTTTATCTATCAAGATGGGGAAGGGATGAGAGGTTCACAGCACGGAGGAGGGCATGTGGACTTCAGTCCTTGGCAAAAAAGGAGAAGCAGCCCATTTCCACCCCTCCTTTTCTTTCTTTCTTTCTTTTTTTTTTTTTAAGATTTTTTTTAAGATTTGTGACAGAGATCACAAATAGGCAGAGAGTCAGGCAGAGAGAGAGGAGGAAGCAGGCTCCCCACTGAGCAGAGAGCCCGATGTGGGGCTCGATCCCAGGACCCTGGGATCAAGACCTGAGCCAAAGGCAGAGGCTTAATCCACTGAGCCACCCAGGAGCCCCATACCCCTACTTTTCTTAAGATGTCTCCTGTCTCCCCTTTACTGAGGCTTACCTGGGGCTGGAGACACATAGGGCAGGTCAAGAAGGTGTACTAAAGAGCCTTCTGAGGAGGGTGGGGGCTGGGCAGCCCCAGAAGTGCCATCCAGGAGATCTAACAGATCCAAGAGCTTGGAGGCCTGTGGGAAAGGGCAGAAGGAGCAGGGCTAGGTGTGGAAGCCTGACCAAGTCCTCTTCCCCCAGGGGCTTCCGGCCTCCACCTGCGGCTCTGTGGGCACAAGGGCTGCTTCCGAATGCTGGGCTTCTTTGTTTTCCTTTGCTTCCTCATCCTGGGTACCACCTCGCTCCACAAGAGGCATCTTTTCCAGGATGGCAGCCCTGAGAGGATGGAATATAGGTGTGTCCCTCTGGCTGGACCGTGGGCTTTTCATAAGCAGCATGTGGGAGGACAGGTAAGACCGTGCTGAGCCCCGGGCACGTGGTGGGTCAGAGCGCCTCACTGATGTCCTAAGCTGGCATACTGCCGCTGGTTTTCGGATGAGCATGGAGGGCTGGGAGCCACCTTGGCTTCAAGGAACTATGGGTGGGAGGCTCTGACTATGGAGGAGGAAGACCGCAGGGGACGACAAAACCCTTGTACCCAGAAAGGGGTACCGGGAAAAGTGGCGTGGGGAGAGGGCAGGGGTTGGGTCCTACGCTGCGGCACAGGGACAGTCGCACCTCATGTAGTCGTACTTCTGGAAGAGTGCGTTGTACTCGATGGCCCGCTGCTGCAGCTCCACATCCAGGCAGCTCCCGTAGACAGACACCACCTGGCGGATGCGGCTGGGCCACAGGGTGTGTGTGGGTGGGCGGCCCTGCCCCCCAACTCCAGGATGTGACATGGAAGGGAAAGGCCCCACAGAGCAGGGGGACCCCCGCAATACCTGGCTCATAAGGAAGAACCTATGGACTAGGGGACCTGGGGTGTGTGCCTGGAGAGAAACTCTGAAACTGCTGGGCATGGTGAAGGGACATCTATTACTGGAGGCACCAAGAAGAGGGGCCAGGACCCTTTCTTACTTGTTGTCCCCACGGAGCCGGGTGCTGAGCTTCATGAGGGCTGTCAGCGCATAGCCTCTGGTGGCTGGCAGGGACATATGGGACTGCAGCACCTTCTCCAACAGTGCCAACACCTCCTCTTCCTCCACCTTCGCAGGAACACAGACGTAACCGTGGGGCATCTTGTCTCTCCTGCTGAGGCCCTCCTCAGTGTAACCCCGATATTGGCCTCACCTGAAGGGGCTCGGTTTCCTCACAGCTCCCCTCCAGCAGGAGGTCCCCATATTCTCCAATGCACCAGGCTGCCACTTGCACCAGTGGTTGCTGCGTGGGAGAAGAATGATGCTAAGTCAGGTTCTGGGTCCCCTCCCCACTCCCACCACGGTGACATGCCCTTATGCAGTGCAGAGATTGTGGGGTTTGGAGAGGTGGGGAAGGGAAATGTCTCCCATCGAAACAGTTACATAAGAGTTTGTCCACTCTCCTGAGCAACCCAGCTCTGTCCTGGCTCTTGGAGGTCTTCTGCCCTCTGGTGGCCAAGCATCAGAACTACATGGCCTCACCAAAAGGAGCTCAGCCAAGAGCCAAGCAAGAGGGTCCCTGCTCTGAGGAAGAGATACGTGGTTTCTGCCCATACTACTTGAGTAATATGGACATGGGAGATAGATAGTGGATAGTGGCTGGCTTCTGTTAATCCACTCAGCATTCAAGGCAGTGGAAACCTGATACACACGAACGAGCTCGATCTCATTTGATCCTCAACACAGCTCTGAGAGGTAGGCAGGGTAGAGAGTTGAGTACACAGAGCGTTAAGGAGACTTAAATCAGTCATCTGTGGCTGCAGAGCCAGGACAGAAGTTCAGGTATTCTAACTAAAAACAGGGCTCTGTCCTTGGATGTCTCTGCTGAGTAGGTGGCTGTGACCTCCAGGGAAAAGCAGCTGGGCATCAGCTGTAGGGAGCTGGTGGCTCAGGAAGGGCCAGGAGGCTCGGGCAGCCCTGGGTCTGGCGGTGCGAACAGTACTTGGGATATGTCCTCTGCCAGGGCACTGTAGAGGCGGCGCACGGAGTAGGCATGGAGCTCCTGGGCACCCCCAATCAGCTGGGTCAGGTTGGCCACTGCATCATCCCGTACATGGGTGCCTGCCTGGAGGGGATGAATGAGGCCCAGGGTTCAGGGCAGTGAACCCTGCCTGCTCCCTCCCAGCTCTCTTAGATCAGTCCCTGCCTCACCGTTGTCAGCACACGCAGGATGGTATCTATATGCCACCGCTTGGTTGGGGCAAACCTAGGGGACATAGGCCTCTTCAGCCCTCATATTGACCCTCCCCAGATTCTATCATCTCTGCCTCCTGGGCACCTGTCTCCTCACCTCTCTGCTGCCAGCAGGATGCCTGAGGCACAGTCGGCCCGCAGATCAGGGGGGCAGGATTCCAGAAAGCTCTGCAGCTCTTGCGTCATGGCTCGCACATTGGAGCTATTCACCAGAGCCAGACTCAGTTGCAGGGCCCGCCTGGCAGGAGAAAGAGGTTGTTGATACAGGGTAGCCAGGTCACCCTGAGCTATACCTCAGGCCCTCCCTTCCCCAGGCACCTGTCTCCTTAATCCCTCTACTTCAGTGGCTCTGACCTGGTCCAGGTCTTGGCTACCAGGGACTGGGCCTTCTGCCCTGCCCTCTTGTTGCTCTGTCCTACTCACCGGCTAAGGGAGGCGTCAGGTTCCCGCAGACACTCCACCACAGTGGGCCGGTGCCGCTGCACAGCACTGTGGTCAGACTGTACCACATGCAGCAACGACATCAGCGCCACATACCTGCCAGAGTGGGAGAGGACCCATCATACCATGCTCCTCAGCCCCCTCCCTGCCCCATCCTTCCCTGAGTCCTGGAATAAGAGGCACATAAATCAGGAGGCACTGGAAGGAGGAGGGCTGAGGGCCAGGGGCTCAGTGGCACAGGCTGGCCAGACACCTAGGATGATTACCTAATGTTCCTGTCACTGTTGAGCAGAAAGCGGCCGAGAATGTTGACAGCCAGGACCTATGGGAGGCAAAGGTTGAGGACAGTCAGGGAAGGAACAACGTGCTCATGAAGGAGCGTGGGCAGTAGGGCAGAGGATCGTGGGTGGGGAGGAGAAACCAGTGACTAGGACCTGTCTGCCTGGCTGGGGTTGGTGGGTGGGGCCGCAGTGGGAGAGGCATATGGGGTGATACCCGGAGGCCGGCTACAGAGCGGATGTCCATGATGGTCAGCACTGTCTCAAATAGGACTGCGTTGCCCGCATTTCGGCTGGTGTCTGTGTTAGTGGCCACCTGAGTAGATGAGAGAGAAAATGCAACTAGAAGGGGCTCTGTCCTCTCCTCAGGTCTCTGGAAGGTACCCACCATGTCATCCCTTCATCATCTAACAAAGTTCCCCGAACCCCCACGATGTGCTGGGGGCTACCACTCTGAGACAGACTGTGTCCCCATCCTCACAGAGATCATAGTCTGCAGGGAAATGGCAACGTGATTATATGGCTACCATGGGGGTGGATGATCATGTGAGGGATGCCTGGGGCCAGTACGATCTTAGAGCCACACCCCTAAGCAATGCTCACTCTCCAGACTCCCACCTGGGCCAGCAAGTCATTCATGGTCTCACTGCTTTCTTCATGGTTCCGGCCCAGGATCCGAAGCAGACGAAGTATCTGGACCTGAGATGGGTTAAAGATGGAAAGGTGGAGGGGTTCAAAGGGTAGAGTCGGGCTGAAGAGAAGAATCCAGCACTGAAGAAAGTATTGTGAGGGGCCTGGCTGGTTTCCTAGATCTTCCCTGCCCCTCCCCCTTTCCCTCCCCCTGCCCGGGTCCCTTGGGTCCTGGGAGATCAGAGGCACACAAAGCCAGGGGATTTGGAGATGGGCATTTTGTTGTTGTTGTTACCCAACTGGATTTCTGATCTTTAGGCATCCCCCACTCCCCAGACTGGTCTTGGAATTAACCTGTGCAATCCTGTGCTTGCCACCCTCCTGAGACATTCATTGACCCAGAATGTTCTCCGGGAGGTGGCCGCGAGCCATTGGGTTACTGCTAAGCCCTTTGTTCAAGGGACACAGCAGGACAGGGTCAGCCCACCTGCAGAAAGGGGTCGCTGACTCCAGATATACTGTGCTCTGCGGAGTATCCCGACGTCACCAGAGTCCAGAGGATCTGCACCAGCTGGGGCACCACCTGGAGGGAGGGCACAGCCTTACTGGGCATTCTGCCTAATCCTCTCAACCTTCAACCCCATTCTAACCCCATGGCCCCTCTTTTCCTGGCCCAGGGGTGCCCCTTCCACCAGCCCACCTTTCGAAAGTGCTTGAGGGCTGCAGGGCTTCGTTCACAGAGCTCCGTGATCAGCGTGATGGTGCCCAGCAGGACGCCTGGTGTTGAGGGGGGTAGTGAATGGTGGGCCAGGGTCACAGGAGAGTCTACTGAGTGTGTGTGTTCATGTGCACATGCTACTCTGCCCCTGGGGGCTGGTGTTCCCGTCCCATTTTTTCACTTCTGTCCACACCCAGAAGTAAGGCAGGGGATGGGGAACCCCATGGCCTTACCGTGGTGGCGTTCATGAAGCAGTTGGGCACAGGGTGGGAGGAAGATGTTAGAGAGCTCAGGGACCTTCCGGATCATGTGCACGGCGGTCAGAACAGCCTGCAGAGATCAAGGGGCTCAGAAAGGGGCAGGGGGTGCCAGGATGGACCTCCCACCTTTAACATGTGGCAAATAGAACAGTTTCCTGTGCCTAGAGTCCTGCCATCTTACCTTCTTGCGCACGTAGGGGCCTGGCTGCAGGAGCAGTTTCTCCACCTCAGTGGCCAGGTCCCGGCACATGTCAGCAGAGCCCACAGTGCTCAGAGTGCACAGGGCCAGGCCTTGTACTGCATGAATCCCCTGGCTCAGGTCACTGCAGAGTCGGGAGGGTGGTCAGTCAAGGTCGGAGAAATCCATCCTTTCCGGTACCTGCATCAGGCAGCCCCCTGGGATTTCCCAGTTCCCCACTCTCCCAGCTCCCTGATTCCAAGTGCTTCCCAGAACCCTCTCACTTCTTGATGCTGTTGGTAATGAGCAGGTGGGCATCCTGCCTCTCATCCAGCAGAAGCATGGCCCCCAGGTAGCCCACCCTCTTGTCTGTGAATCTGGGGGAGGCGATCAGTTTCAGGCACTCCATCTACAGGGAAGGGGGCAGACCAGGAAGGGGCAGGGGTGAAATTCGAGGCACTAACATCCCTTCTCTATCTTCTTTATCCCCAGATTAATTTATTGTAGCACCATTTCCCATCATCCTCCTTCAACCAAGGAAAAAGCTTAGGAAATTCAAAGTTAGTGGGTAGTTTCAAGGAACCAGGAGTCGAGGAGGATGGGAGAGAAAAGGAGGTGGCTTGAATGGGGCTGGCCAGAGAATGAAGGGTTCAGTCCGGCTTATGACCTACAGGGGTTATAATGGGGAAAGAGTTTAGCGGTGCATGCTGTGAGAAGGAAGGGCTCAGAAACTTTGTAGAATAAAAAAATCAGGGCACAGGTAGGTGAGGATGTCCAAAACCCTGCCCCTCAGCCTTCCTCATCAAACTCAGAAGGGAGGTGTCCCGGCCCGGTACCTGTCCAAAGTGGGCGGGGTAGCCCAACATGTGGACGTAGAGCAGTTTGGCCAGCTGGCGGTGCCTGTGCAGAGGGTCCCCATCGCGGAAGGAGGCGCGGATGTGGGCGCACTCCTTCTGGATCACCTCCCGCTCCTGGGCCTGGGTCTTGGCCCCACGAATTTCCTCGATTAGATCTTGAAGCTTCAAGGAAGGCACCACCATCCTGAAGGGGCAGAGCCCGTTAATGGAGAGGGTTTTGAACCTCTCGGGCTGGGAGTGCCTGGCCTTCCAGCCCAGACTCGCCCTGTACCAAGATCCTGAAGGACTGGGACCCGCAGCTACCCTAAAACCGAGCCCACATTTACCTTTCCCCATGTGGGTTTACCAAATTCCGCCCCCTCGTCACCGCGGGAGGAGAGCCCCACTACGCATGCGTCCCCGCCCCACCTAGCGCCCGTTCAGACGGAGCATGCGCCAGAACCCCGCCTATTTCCCCAACACCCCACCAACCTCCGGCACTACCTGGTTTCCCATCCCTAGCTCGTCCATTGCTTTCCTTCCGGGGTCCTGCGCTACCTCTTCCGCGGGATTCCCCCCCCCAAGGTCACACCTCAGGCGGCCTCAGCTTCACACCAGGACACCAGCCCCACCGACAGCCTCACCTGGCTGGTCTCAACTCAGCTCCTTTCCCCCCAGCGCTTCCTGGTACCGGGCCCGACGGGGGTTGGTCCTTCTCCTGGTCCTTCCCTCTTCCCGCCCCCGTCACGGGACCCCGCCCCCTCCTGGGCTGCCCGGCTGAGCTGTCTAGAATCCTCTGACCTCAGGCCTCAGGCTTTGGAGTTGAGGGCAAGGAGCTCTTCGGGCGGCAAGACTGCATAGCAGACTTGGGATTCTCCCAGAGGCCTCTTTGTACATTCTCACCACCCGAAGAGCCTCAGGAGACCTTGGGTTTGAAGCCATCGCACCCCAAAGGAGATGACAATCCCCCCCCTTTTTTGAACTTTTTTATTAATATATTTTTTTTTTTGTTAAATTTCTTTGTATTTTTTTTTCCTGCAAGACTTGGTGTTGGCGGCACTGTTGTAGTTTAACTTCAATCCCAAATTCCATGAAATAGAAATCAGAAGTAAAGGTTTAGAGGGGAGGGAGGGAGGCAGGCCAAGGAGTAAACAGAGTTTGACTAGAAAAAAAGAAGAGGGTATGTGTGATGGGCATTCCCAGGCAAGGCCATTCCTTGAGGGAGGGGATTGGCAGGCAGCTCTCGTCTGCCTCATGCAGGGGAGGGAGGAAAGATCCCCTGGGGACCCTACAGAGGGGTCCCCCTCTTCCTAGGGCTTCCTGCCCCCAGGGGAAAGCTATTAACAGGGATCAGCCACAACCTCAAACAGGGCTCTCCACCCATCTCTCACCCTGCTTTGACTCCCACCTCTGCCCTGCCTGGAAAGTGTGTGAGAGATTGGCTTCCTTTGATCCCTCTTTCTGTTGTTTTCCCATTTCACAAGATTCGGATGTGACGGGGGAAGGGATATAACCCACTTAGAGACTACTAAACTTGTTACAGCTTCTGCCGCTCTGTGAGTTCCTGTTATCTAGGCTGGTTGTGTTTCCCCGAAATGCCCCTCCCACCCCCGCTCCACAACTGCCAGAGTTGGGGAGTGGGGTCCTAGCTCAAGTGCCTCTAACCCTCTGCGGCAGAAATATCTTCTTCAGGCCCCTTAGAAATCTAATCAAAGGCCACAGGTGAGTCCAGACCAACCAAATAAACTTTTAGGGGGAGAGAAGGGGGTGGGAGAGGTCAGTGGGTAGACGTGACTGCATTGGACGATTTCTTTCCTTTACACATTGCTCTTGACAAGATATGCCACCCGGGGCGGGGGGTGGGGGTGGGGGTTGGATGAGGGGCTGGCGGTTGAGGAAAGGAAGAGGGAGATCTTAGGGAGTCATTCTACTTTTTGTCTCCCTTATCTCCTTCAGGGAAGGATAAAGTTAGGCAAGAACCTAGCTCAGCGCTTGGAGGTGAGATAGGCTCCTCCAAGGTCAGAGATGGAGGCTATACCTTCTCCAGCTCCTTCACTAGGCCTCGCAGGGACACCAGGTCCCTTGGGTCAGGGAGCCACAGCAGCTCAGCCAGTGCCTTGCCCAGTATACAGTCATCCCTTCTCCATTTTCTTCTTCCTTTCCACTCAGCTTCCAGGAGACTCCTCGGGACACCAAACCCCCACCCTCATTGAAGTTCAGGTCTAAAGAAAAGGCAGGGAAGACACGGGGCAATGGTCTGACTTAGATTTGTGTGTCTCAGAGAAGAGAGCGACTCTGAGCAAGAAAAGCCCTTCATATGTAAACAATCTAGAGAGAGAGGTGGGGTGGGGTGGGGGGGGGGGAGGGAGTGAGGAAGACAGAGACAGATTCAGAATAAATGAGAGAATCGGAAAGGAAAGCTGGAAAGAAAAAGCCAAAGACAAAACCAAAGGGGGACAGAAAAGAAAGGGAAGGAAGAAGAGAAAGAAAGATAGGAGATAAAAACAACCAGGAGGAGGAAAAGAGAAAAAGGCAGGTCAAAGAAGTGAAGAGGCAGCAACCGAAGCCAGAACTAGGCTGGGCTAGGTGAGGAGCTGGGAGAACAGGAACGCCAGGCTGAGGTCCAGGAGGGCCACGGCTCCCACCACCAGGGGGTTGGCAGCTCCCTAGAGAGACAGTGGGGAAAGACAGTCTCAGTCCCTGAGGACCATATCCAGCGACAGGTCCCACCTTCCTGCCCTGGCAGAGATGGCAAATCTGAAGGGTCCCAGGCACCTCTCCTCAAAGGTCAGAGCAGGGGCATCTCCAACCTTTTTGGAACTGCAAAAACACCTCTCTTCTCCCAGGCAGGGCCCCTCCTTCCCTCTGGCTCCCTCAAGTCAGGAACAGCCCTTTCTCCCCCTCCCTCCACTCCCCTCCCACTAGCATGTCACGTGGCCCAGGCAGAAGGTGCCTGGCCTTAGTAGCAGACTTTGGCAGCAGCAGTTGGTACTGCAGTAAAGCAGAGAGGGATGAAGGGGTGAGGATGTGGTTGCTAGGAAACAGGAGAAGGCCTGGAGTCCAATCAGAATACAGGGTTCTGGGAAAACTCCACCCCTCCCAGTTTTCTGCCTCCTTTCCCATTTCCCTTCTTCCCAGGAGAGGGAGGGGGAGTCAGGGTAGGGAGGGAACAAGCTTTTCCTTTTTTATTTCTGGGCACCAAAGAGACAAAGTGTGGAGGTGGGGGTGGGGGTGGAGTAGGAAACCAAGAGCTGGAAATTATATGGAAGGAGAACAGTGAAAGATGTTTTGGCTCTCTCGTTCCTTATTGGTAACCTTGGGCAAATTACTTTAAGTGCTCTGGGCCTCAGTTCCCTCATCTGTCAAATGAGGGAGCTGGAGATGAAGGTCTCCAAGGTTGCTTGCAGCTCACAAGTTCCCTATTTTTTTTTTTTTTTTTTTTGGTGGGATATGGTCCAAGAGTGTGCAGGAAGAAAGGAAGCGGAGTCCAAATCAGAGCCCCTGAAGGGATCAGAGAGGTCTGGAAATGATGAGAGGCAAGGCTTTGAGGAGAAAAGGGGCCACAAAGCGGGAACGGAGGGCAGCTCACCGGCTGGGCGGGCCTCTCAGTTGCAGCAGGCTCCTCAAGCTCTTCCGTCAGGCACCCGGCCTCGGGACCCCTCGAGGCTGGGTCCCTCAGGACCGGCATGGCCATGGGCTCAGGCTCCGAGCCCCCTGGGGCTCTCAGCTGGGGCAAGGGCTCTTCGTCTTCCCCTTCCTCCTCTCGAAGACTTCCGGAGCTGTCGCTGCAGCCTCCAAGAAGTGGGGAACCGTCTCTGGGCCCGGGCCCCTGCATCCCAGCCTCGTCCTCGGCCTCATAGCCAGCTAGTTCCTCTGACTGTTCACCGGGGCCCCCCCACTCCTCAGGCCAAGCTTTGGGGCTGGAGAAGGGACCCCGGTCCCCTCCAGGAGGCAGTGGGCTCCGGCGGGCAGGGGGTCGCCAGGGTTGGCGGGAGGAGGCAGGACTGCTGGGCAGTTCAGGGGAGCCCTCTGAGGGGGTCAGTCCATTCTCGTATACCCCAGGGCTGTCCTCATCCAAGGGTTCTGTGTCGGAGCCTTCTGAGTCCTGCCTGGGTCTGCGGCCTGTGGCAGGGATAGCTAAGAATCAGAGGGGCCTAATGGCCTTGGGCAGCAAAAGCTAGAGCTTTAGTCCACTGCCTGGGCACCTCCCAGGCTTACGGCCTCTCATAGCCAGACCCCAGGCCCCAGATCCTGAGTCTTCATTACCCTATTTTATAAATTCCCAGTGCCACTGCCCCAAACAACTGGGTCTGGCCCCCCACCCTCATCCCCTTGGATCTTCATACCTTGGATTTTTCCATCCCCAGTCCTCTGCAGGGACTTCCTCCCCTTCCCCTGCCCCTGAGCCCCTCCAGCTCCCCGGGCCACCCACACCTCACCTGGGGCCTCTAACATAGGTTGCAGGTCCTGGGCTATCAGTTTGGCCATTCGAGCTGCCTCCACAGCCTTCTCGGCGACACTGCTGGCTGCCACTGCCTTTAGAAGGGCATCTGCCGCCCTGCCGGGGTCCAGGGACAGGAACTTAGCAGACCTGCTCAGATGCTCCAGCCCCCTGGTCCACGTCCCCACCACATCATGTCCTCTGGATGGGAGCTCATCTCTGGAGTACTCAGTCTTGCTCACGCACTGCCTGCTGCTCCCCTCCCTGGCCTGGCAGGGCAGCAGGCCTCTGCTTTCCACCCATAGACCTGGGCTGTGCCTGCTCTCATCACACTCCCCTGCTCCTCTCACACCTGCCACCATCATGTCCTGTAGTAACACTTCCCTTCCTCCAGCCACAGCCACCGGCTGCCCTCCACTCCTTCCCAGGGATAGATGAGACCTCACGCTCTTAGCACACTTCTCTACAGTCGCACCTGCTTGGGTTTTCCCAGCAGCTTCCCCCTCCCTGCCCGCCTTGTTCTGGGCCACTGGCTCCCTGTGCCTGGAGCTTTGCCTCCTTCCCCATCATCACTGCTAACCCTCCTAATGTAACCCTGCCCCTTCCCTGCACCTGACATGACAGATTAACAGGCTGTTTTCCTTTAGCCTCTTCTGTTGCCACACTGTTCTCGCCCCTAGGTCACTGCCCCTGCCTCCCTGGACCATCACATCCTTTCTGAGTTCTGGATTTGGGGTAAGCATGAGTCCCACCTTTCTGCTCTTTCTACTCCCTATCCAAGGCACCGTGAATTTCTCACCGTTGTGATTATCTCTTCCAAGGAAAATCTTAGCTTCCTTCCCTTCCACATGTCCCTCCCATTGTGCCCTGCTCCCTGGGTACAGGCAGCCTTGAAGCATTATTGGTCCTTTCCCCACAGTGGTTTCCCAGTTCTCCCTCTAATGTCAGATGCTTCCTCAGTTTCCCTTCTGTCTCACCCTCTGCTGCTAATCGCAGACGTCCCATGGTCTTTCAATGAGTTCTGTCATACTGACTGAAGGTGACGCACAAAGAGGCAGAGGTAAATGTAATCAGTTACACTTGGGCTTAAATGGATCAAGACCCCACTCCTGGCCCCAGGCTTGTTTTATCTGGCTTAGGAAGGCAGTCTGGGTACCGGGGGAGGGAGAAGGGTGGTGATGTTCACTGTAGTCTTAAGCCTACCCCCTCTTTATGTACCTTGGGAGATATGGTCAGCCACCTCCCCTCAAACCTGCTGGGTGAAGGACTTTTAGAGCCTGTTTGCAGGGACCTCAGATAACCCTGTTCTTCTCCCTTTGTGCTGCCAGACTGTATATGACTAGCCTTGCCCTGAAACTAAACTGGTCTCAGGGTTTAGGGTGGAGGATGACGATCAAAGTCTTGGGTTACATGGAGTTCTGTCGGGAGCCAAAAACTGCAACACTGACAAGAGGCTGTGTTTTTGGGTTTGGAGGGTGTAGATGAGCAAGTCCTAGGCAGAAGACCCAGTCATCAGGCCAGGCTCAGGCTACCTGGCAGGGGCACCTGCTGCTGAGGCTCTGCTGTTTCCATGGCAGCTGGCAACCAATCAGGTTTGCCAGGCCTGTTGCTGGGGAGACCAACCAGCCTCCTCCCACTGACTGATCTTTCAGCTACTGAGATCAGTTTTTCCTGCCCCTGCCTGTTCCTCATCTAGACTAAAGGGCTCCCTGGTGCCCTGCCCTCCCTCTTCCCTGGCTGAAGGCCCAGACTCTAACCACCTAGACACCGAGATGTAGCTACAGATAGACACGCCTGGCTCAGGCATCTACTTTGGGTATGACACATTCCTACAGGGACACCTTGGTCAGCCCTTATACAAACTCCCTGAAGCATATGTGGACGTATCTTGGCCTCTGATCCTGTGAAACAGTTCCAAATTTAAACAAAATGCTTCCACTGTACCCTCCCTTTTAAAGAAAATGCAACATACAAAAATTCACATGTATGAGTTGTATAAATCAGAGGTCTGAGAACCTCATTACAGATGGGTTTTTGGCTTTTAGATCTGTGCTATCTAATCCAGCACTTAAAATGTGGCTAGTCTGATCTGAAATGATGCGCTATAAATATGAAGTATACTAAATTTCAAAGACTTAGTAAAAAAGGGGGGAATGTAAAGTCTCTCATTAGTAATTTTATGTTGGTTATAGGTTAAAAAGATCAAATTTTGGATATATACTTGGTTTAAATAAAGATGTTACTATTTATGGGGCACCTGGCTGGCTCACTCAGCGAAGTGTGGGACTCTTGATCCCAGGGTTGCTTGAGTTCCAGCCCCATGTTGGGCCTAGAGCTTACTTTAAAAATATGTAATAATTAAAATCATTTATTTTTTTATTTTTTCACATGGCTACTAGATTAAAAATTACATATTCGGCTTCTATTATATTCCTACTGCACAGTGCTGCTTTACATAATAAGATAATGCATGGACATGTAATCTGATTTACGGAGAGAAAATTTCATTTACAGGTGAGCCTCCTCCCCTCAAACCTTTCTCAGTTAGTTGGGTAAAGGGAGGCAGAGGAGGCAAATCTAAGAGGCTCTCCTCTCAGTTGGATAGGTCAGCTGTACAAATTAGATCTACCCAAGGCTGGAGGCTGAGATAACATCAGTCCATGGGCAAGCAGGGAGGTGGCTAGGAACGCACATTCCCTGTCTCTCTGCCCAGGGTTGCTGCTCCCAGCTGCAAGAGGAACACTGGGGACAGGTTTCTGAGCCTGTACAAGCCAGCGCTCCTTGCTACTCCCACACACAACAATGACACACATCCCCACAAAAGACACTAAGACACACTTATGGTCTAACACGGCTTCCCTCAAATACCCAGCCACCCACAGTTACACCCACATCCACCTGTAGCCTCAGATATAAACACTCCAAATACCCAGGGCTACAACTGCTCGGCCTCGGGCCTGCTCTCCCCTACTAGGCCCCAGGCCTTTGGTCGTGGTCCTCCTGTAGGCACTACCTACGCCCCCCACCCCCCAGCTGTCCCCAGGGTACCTTCTCCACTTAGCCCAGCTTTGGCCTCTGCAGCGGATGCCCACCTGGCAGCGGCGATCTCCTGGCGCTGGCGGGCAGCACTCACGGCTCGACGGGCGCCTTCGACAGCCCTGTCCACCTTCTCCTTGACTTTGCCCCGGCGAAGGGCCAGAGGCAGGAGGCTGCGCACACGCCCCCCGTGCACCAGCCGGTTGCGCTTGTACTTGCCCTCCTCGCGGGAGCCGTCCGGGCGGGTGGTGCGTCCGTAGCCGTGCCGCCGGTTGCCCAGCCACTCGCCCTCATAGCGCAGCCCATTGGAGCGCTGGCTCACGCCGAAGCCGCTGCGCCGGTCGGCGCGCCATTCGCCCGCATACACCTCGGTGGCAGAGCCCTCGATGAGGGCGGGCGGGACTGGGGCCGGAGGCCCGCTGGCCTCGGAGCCCGGGGGTCCTGTGCTGCCCACCTCGCTGCTCACCTCGCTGCGCAGGGAGCCTCGCTTGCTGCCCAAGGAGCTGCGGCGCCCGCCCGCCCGGAGCCCGCTGAGCAGCAGCGAGCGGCGGAAGAACCCGCCGGCCGCGGGGGTGCGCTTTCGGGAGGACGCGCCGTCAGCGTCCCCCGGCCCGGCCAGCACGAAGCCTCCCCGGGAGCCCGAGGCCGGACTGCCTCCCTCGTCGCCCGGCAGGGGCAGGGGCGGGGGAGGTGTCGGGGGGTCGCTGTGGCCAGAGTCCAGGGAGGTGCGGCGGGGAGAGCGCAGCAGCGCGGCCTGATGGTAGGGCACACTCTGGCGCACCCCGTAGCCGTGGCGCTTCCCGGCCTGCCACTGGCCCTGGTAGGTGCCTGCGGGCGGGGTAGGACGGGGAGAAAGGGTCAGGACCCGCTGCTTCCTGCACCCTCGGCCCCAAGCACCCCTGGAGGCCTACGTGTCGGGAGGGAGAGGTGGGGCAGTTAGCGTGGAGGTTGAGGAAGAGCACTAGGAGCCGGGACGGGCCAGGTTGGGTCAGAAGATGTGGAAGGGCGGAGTGAAGGCCGACAGATAGCAGGAGATCTGTGGGTTTGGGGCGTGCAGGTAGACAAGGGAAAGGGGGAGGGACAGGCAGGCTGGGGTGTGTAAAGGACAGATAGTCCAGAGGGTGTGAGGGACAGGCTGACGGGGTGTTTAAGATAGTCATGTGACAATCAGGGCGATGAGGGGCAAGCTGACTGAGGAAATGTGAGGCGACAGCAAAGCAAAGGTGTTAGGGACAGGCGGATGGGGGGAGAGGGGTGGTGTGGGACAGACAGAGAGGAGGGGTGGAACGGACAAGCAGATGTGGGGGTGAGCGTCAGGTAGACGGGGGTTGTAAGGGACAGGCAGATAGGGAGGGGATGAGGGCAGGCCGACTGCAGACCCGGGAGAGGGAGAAGCGGGCAGGGGCCAGAGCGCTGAGGAAGGCGTGTGCGAAGGGAGGAGAGGGCGGCAGGATGGGCGCAGGGGGCGCATATGGGTGGGGGAAGGCGTACAGAACAGCGGGGCAGGCGGAAAGGGGCAGATGGCCGGGAAGGCGGACGCGGGACAGGCGGACGGGGAGGCGCACGCGGACGAGCAGGCAGACAGACAGTAGTGGGCCGGGCCGCGCACCTCCGTCGGAGTAGGTCTCGGTGCCGTAGCCGTCCTGGAAGCCGTCCTTCCAGAGCCCGGCGTAGCGCAGGCCCGACACGCTCTCCCACACGCCGCTGCGCCCCTTCAGCCCGCCCAGCCACTCGCCGCGGTACGTCCAGCGGCTCTTGCGCTCCACGCCCAGCCCTTCGCGCTTGCCCTGCTGCCAGTGGCCCTGGTAGCTGTGTCCGCCGGGCCCCGTGAAGACGCCCAGTGACTCGAAGCCGTGCGCCCAGCAGCCGCTGTACTCGCCCTGGGCGCCGGGCCCCGTGCACACGCCGTAGCCATGTGCCCGCCCCGCCTCCCAGCCCCCCACGTAGCAGCCCCCGTCGTCAAAGTCGAACTTGCCCCCGGGGGACATGCATGTAGTTGGCGCGGCCTCAGCCCCCCGGCGGCTCAGCGCATCCTGGGGCTGGAGAGCCGGCTGGGGGCCTGCAAGCCGGGCGAGGCCTGGGGGCGGGGGCAGTTAGACCGGGGCCGGGCGGGGGGGCCCCAGCGCGGGCTGGCAGGGCCGGACCCTCATCCTGAGTGGCTGCAGAGAAAGAGGGGGGAAGTGGCGAGCGATGCCCCTCCTCTTTGCCCGCCGCTCCCTGGCCCAGTGGCTCTGGGGCATCAGCACCGCCCCCCAACCCCCCACCCTTCGGCAGCGTCTTCCAGCAGCTCCTAAGCTTTGTAGGCATGGGGGCTCCCCCACCCCTCCGTCTTTGTAGAGGGCCCCTCCCAGGACTTGGGTCCCCAACCCCAAGCGGTAGTCCCGCTTCTCCAGCATAGAACCCCAAAGTGTCGAGTGTGGATGGCAGTTGCTGGCGCGGGGTGGGGGAGCACGGGGGGGGGTGTCCTGAGAGGGGGCTGGGCAGAGTCGTAGGCCACCCGTTCCTCTGGCTGCTGTCAGGACCTGTCTGCCCGGTTCACCCCGGGCAAGGGGGTGGGGGTTGAAAATGTAAGGGGGGATCGGAGCAAGGTGGGCAGTGGGTTTGGTGGGGGAAAGGATGGGGATGGAGGAGGCTCTGCAGGGAAAAGGCGAGGGTGGGGATGGGCAGACAGGCGGAAGGGAGGGGGCAGGTTACTCACCATGTGGGCTGGGGCTCAGGCTGCCTCCCAGGCACAGCATCCATGGCCGGGTACCTCCACTCCCACCTCGTCCCGACAAGCCAAAGCCCCCTCCCCTTCCGGAGAGACTGCTCCTACCCAGGGAGCGAAGGTGGGAGAGCCGCGAGTCCCCTCTCTCCCCAGCTGGAGGAGCAGGCGGTGGGGGTGGGGGGCGAGGTAGTGGCAGGGGTGGGGGGGGAATGAGAATAGTGGAGGGGAAAAAATCTGCCTTGGATGGAGAAAGGGATGAGGAGCTGGGAACTGGATGGGAAGGGAGAGGGGGCTATGAAAAGGGGGTGTTTTATTATTTTTTTCCTCCTTATGGTTGGGAGAGGAAAAAAAAAATCAAAATTCCGATTCCATCCCAGCACAAATCAATGTTTGCTCCATCCCAGCATCACGGGGGAGGCTGGGCCAGGCAGATTTAAAGGGGCAGGGAGAAGAGAGAGGAGGAGAGGGTGGAGAGAGGAGGAGAGGAAGATGATACAGTGGCGATGTTAGCAGTTGGGGGGGGGGTGCCCAGGCTGGAAAAGATGGGTGCCGGCTAAATCTGAGGTGAGGGAGGAGGCAGGTATAGGGGAGAATGAGAAGCACAGAGACCCCCAGGGTGGAAAGAAATCCTGGGATGCCGGCGGGGAGTGGGGTGAGACCGAGGGTGGGGGGGAGAGAGGGGAGGGGAGCAGAGCGAGAGGGAGGAGACTGAGCTGAAGATGGGGAGGCTGGGGGAGGCCGAAGCTTGGCGGGGGAGGAGAGATGCAGGCGAGGCCGGGAAAGGGTGAGAGGAATACAAAGAAAGAGGTGCAGGGCGAGACCTAAGGAGGGGGAGATGCCTCCGGAGAAGGAGGGAGCGGGGAGACCCATTCTAGGGCTTCTGAGGGTTGGCAAGGAGGAGAGAAGCAGGGGAGGAGGGGAGGGGGAAAGAAGTAGATAGAGTGGGAGTGAATACGGGTTGTAAGGGAGAGAGAAAAAGCACTGCACAGGGAAGGGCTGGCATGGGCATAGAAATCCAGGCAGGAAGAGCCTAAACAGAGGCAGGACGGCCGGAAGTGGTGTTCGTGGGGCTCCAGGGAGAAGGATGAACCTGCCAGCTGCTTGGACTGAAGCCAGGAAGCCTTTGGGCACCTGTCCACCAAGTCCTCTGTCCTCCCTAAGTAACCACTGCAGGGAGATCAGAAGCCTCCCTTACTTGTGCTTTCTGAGGAACCTTGAAATGGGGCCCTACAAGAAGCCTGGCCCCACTAGTGCTGATCTAGAACCCCCACCAACTATTTCTCCCTGGGTTGTCCCTCTGAAGGGGAAGGGGTGGCATGAAGGGTGTATTGTTTCTGAATGGAGAATAGGGGGTCATGCTTGGTAGGGCCATGAAGACTCTGGGACTTTGGAGCCTTTTGCAAACCTAGAAGCTAAGACACATAGACATGTTGGGGCGGACCCTTATTGTAGCAAAGCCCCCTTTAGCCTACCACCCTCCAACTACTCATGAGAGGGGCAGCACACCCTGGGCCTTATTGTTTACAGACAGAAGTAGGCACATACTGTCTTCCCTGCCCCTCAGCTTACTTGCTGAGATGATGCATCTATCCCACTCCTAAGCATTTAGGAAGGAAGAACCTGTCCAGTTACATACAATGGGGTAAATAGATGTACTCAATTGCTTTCATTTTTGTGCAGTCTGATCCACTCCATTTTACAAAAAGAACTGAGGCCCAGAAGGGAAAGTCACTAGAGTCACACAGCAGAGGTGGCAAAGCTAGGACACCAGACTTTTTTTTTTTTTTTTTTTTAGATTTTATTTATTTGAGAGAGAATGAGCAAGAGAGCAGAACAGGGCCGGAGGGAGAAGCAGACTTTCCACTGAGCAGGGGTTCCATCCCAGGACCCTGGAATCATGACCTGAGCCAAAGGCAAATGCCCAACCACCTGAGCCACCCAGGCACCCCCAGAACACTAGACTTGAGACCTCTGAGCTCTGTAATTCCTCCCAGAATTCCACGTACTTAGGAACCTCCCTCAGACTCGGGAGTTCCAGTTCCGGTTCGAAGGGGTAGAAGTAGGGAGAAGGGATGGAAACAAACTTGGGCTGGCTCCCTAGGGAAAGAGGCATTTATGATGAATCCAGAAGGGATTCTGGAGCAGGCCAATCTCCATCTCATTGTTTATCCGTAGCTATTCAGACCTTCTTTTTCTCCAAGAAAGAGGGACAAGAAAGGAAAAGCAACCTTTAGGTCTGGTGAGACCTGTGCCCTGTTCTTTGGGAAGACAGGGTGGGAGGGGTAATGGAAGACAGGGAGCGATGCCTTGTTGGTAGAGTGACTCTGTACTGAATTCTAGGCTGCAAACCAACAAGTAGGGCTGAAGAAGTCACTGACAAGAGTACCCTGGAACTTGGGCACATGGTCCCAGCCACCTCCCTGCGTGAGGCAGCCCTCCAGCCCCAATCTGTTTCTGTCCCTACAGGTCCTATAATCCCTTCTTTTAAGGCAAAGACACTTTTGGAGGCTGTACTGGTTTTTGTCACAATTTGTCATTATGCTGGGGTCCTAGAAAAGGGAACCGGCAAGGAGTGGAACTGCTCTGCTCTCGGAGCCAGGCACTGTGTGAGGCACGTGGACCACATCACTACATTCAGTCCTCCCACAAACCCGTAACCATTAGCAGCCAAGGCTGGAGGCCGAGATCTGGGCTTTCACAGATGGACAGACCTCTCTCCATCCCGACTGTACTGCTTCTGAACTGGGTAAATCTGAGCACATTCTCTAACTTTCCTGAGCTGCAGTATGCATAGCTCTACGAGGGGAAGACTCCAGAGCTTACTGTGAGGATTGAAATAATCATGTATGAATAGTGTTCAGGATTATATATAGGGGAAGACCCTCTGGGCATAGTACCCAACTCATGGTAAATACCCGGTAAATGGAGGCTTGAATAATAAGCTGGCATTATGCCAGTTTTATAGGTGAGGAATCTGGGACCCAGATGTTAATTTGCTCAACGTTGCACAGCTAATATATGGGAGTCCTTAGAGTTGAATGTAGCTCAGACTCCCAAGTTGGTACACTTCAACAAAGGCAATTTGGGGGCTTAGTTATAAAACATGCTTATTATTGAACTAAGAAAATAAAGGACAATATCAAGAATAGAAATCACCCCTAGTCTCACTGTACAAGTAGCATGTTGGAATATTTTCATATAGTTTTCCTTCTATGCACTGTTTATTTCACATAATTAGTTAAATACAGCATATGCAATTTTATATCCTACTTACTTGCTTTGCATAAGACGGTAGGCATTTTTCCATGACACTGAAACAGCCCGGGCTTTTTTTTTTTTCAAGATTTTGTTTGAGAGAGAGACAATGAGAGAGAGCACGAGAGGGGAGAAGGTCAGAAGGAGAAGCAGGCTCCCCGTGGGGCTGAGAGCCCGATGCGGGACTTGATACCCGGACTCCAGGACCTGAGCGAAGGCAGTTGCTTAACCAACTGATCCACTCAGGTGCCCCCAGCCTGGAATTTTTAGTGGCTGCATAATATTCCACTGTTTGGGCACATTATGATCTGTTGAGCCATTCCGGCACAGCACTTTTATACTGTTTGCACAGTTTTTTGCTACTAAAAATTAACATCTTTTATACAAATCTTTGCATCTCTGATGCTTTTTTTGGAAAATGTTTTATCATCACAAATTTCAAACATACACCAAAGTAGACCAAAACAAAACAAAAAGAACAACAACAACAACAACAAAACAACCAAAAAATAGAATAAAGAAGTCCAATGTACCCATCACCAAGCCTCAGAGATGATCATGCTTCGCTCATCTTGTCTTTTCCTCTCCCATTTAATTCCAATTCTGGGTATCATGTTATTTGAGTATTGATTTTTTGAAGTTGGGATCCTAACAGTAGAACTACTGATACAGAGGGTAGAAACACTTTGTAAGGTTTTGGATTTCTTTTGCTCAAATCACTTGCAGAAGGGTTGTGCAAATTTGTACACTCACCCATTGTGCATGAGAGTGCTGGTCTTTCGCACCCTGAGCTGTGATGACCTCTATTTATAACACACACACACACACACACACACACACACACACACACACACACACCTTTTGCCAAATTGACAGGTGATGGTGCTTTCTTTATATACGTTTGTTTGGTTGCTGGACTTACACTGAGAAGGCACCTGGGGACTGCAGTGGAGTAAACCCTCTTGAGGGACCCCTAGGAAACATGCCAGTACTTCCTGGGGACCCTAGCCAGGACCTGTGGTGTGG